CTCTCTCTCTCTCTCCTCTCTCTCTCTCTCTCTCTCTCTCTCTCTCTCTCTCTCTCTCTCTCTCTCTCTCTCTCTCTCTCTCTCTCTCTCTCTCTCTCTCTCTCTCTCTCTCTCTCTCTCTCTCTCTCTCTCTCTCTCTCTCTCTCTCTCTCTCTCTCTCTCTCTCTCTCTCTCTCTCTCTCTCTCTCTCTCTCTCTCTCTGCGCTGCGCTCTCCTCCTCCTCCTCCTCCTCCTCCTCCTCCTCCTCCTCCTCCTCCTCCTCCTCCTCCTCCTCCTCCTCCTCCTCCTCCTCCTCCTCCTCCTCCTCCTCCTTCCCTCCTCAGTTCCGTTCGGGTGGCGGTTGCGAGTGGCCAATCCTTCCGCCGGGCGCCGGCCGGCTGCCAGCGCGCATCGATCCGCCCCCGCCCCCCGCCCCCGCCCCCGCCCCCGCCCCCGCCCCCGCCCCCGCCCCGCCGGTAGTACGGAGGGCCGCCCCCGCCCCGCCCCGCCCCGCCCCGCCCCCGCCCCCGCCCCCGCCCCCGCCCCGCCCCGCCCGGGCCACCGCCGTACGCCAGCCGCTGGTGGTACAACACGGCGCCGCTGTGTGTCAGACTGGACACCCGGAGGGGCCGGCCCGGGGCGTCCTCTGCACCCGGCCCGGCGTGTCCTCTGCACCCGGCGCGGGGTGTCCGCGTCTGTCCGGCCGGCGCCGTCCGCGGGCCGCGGGGCCGCTCGGGGGTGGGGGGCGGACGGTCGGTGGAGGGGGGGGGGGGTGTCGGTGCCGACAGTCGGTGGGCGGCGGCCGAGACTCTAGTACGGAGCGCCGCGCCGCGCGGACCGGTGTGCCCGGCTGCCGACTGTCAGTGGACTGAGCCGGCGCCACTGCCGACTGTCAGTGGACGGTCACTGTGGACTGTCACTGTGGACTGTCACTGTGGACTGCCACTGTGGACCGACCGTGGGAGGCTGGCTGGGCTGACGACTCGGCTGCGGAGAGCCACGGTGGGTGCTGGCGGGCGCTGCGCTGGGTGTAACTGGCGGGCGCTGCGCTGGGTGCCGGCTGGCGCTGCGCTGGGTGGTGGCGGGCGCTGCGCTGGGTGGTGGCGGGCGCTGCGCTGGGTATAACTGGCGGGCGCTGCGCTGGGTGGTGGCGGGCGCTGCGCTGGGTGCCGGCGGGCCCTGTGCTGGGTGGTGGCGGGCGCTGCGCTGGGTGCCGGCGGGCGCTGCGCTGGGTGCCGGCGGGCGCTGCGCTGGGTGGTGGCGGGCGCTGCGCTGGGTATAACTGGCGGGCGCTGTGCTGGGTGCTGCAGGGGCCTCCGAGGCGGGCGCTGGGAGAAAATGCGGCCGTCCCGTGGTACCGCTGTGGGTAGATGGACCGTGGTACCGCTGTGGGTAGATGGACCGTGGTACCGCTGTGGGTAGATGGACCGTCCTGGGGGACCGTGGTGCCGCTGTGGGTAGATGGACCGTCCTGGGGGACCGTGGTGCCGCTGTGGGTAGTGGATCGTCCTGGGGGACCGTGGTGCCGCTGTGGGTAGATGGATCGTCCTGGGGGACCGTGGTGCCGCTGTGGGTAGTGGATCGTCCTGGGGGGACCGTGGTGCCGCTGTGGGTAGATGGACCGTCCTGGGGTACCGTGGTGCCGCTGTGGGTAGTGGACCGCCCTGGGGGGACCGTGGTGCCGCTGTGGGTAGATGGACCGCCCTGGGGGACCGTGGTGCCGCTGTGGGTAGATGGACCGTGGTGCCGCTGTTGGTAGATGGACCGTGGTGCCGCAGTGGGTAGTGGATCGTCCTGGGGGACCGTGGTGCCGCTGTGGGTAGTGGACCGTCCTGGGGGACCGTGGTGCCGCTGTGGGTAGTGGATCGTCCTGGGGGACCGTGGTGCCGCTGTGGGTAGATGGACCGCCCTGGGGGACCGTGGTGCCGCTGTGGGTAGTGGACCGTCCTGGGGGACCGTGGTGCCGCTGTGGGTAGATGGACCGCCCTGGGGGGACCGTGGTGCCGCTGTGGGTAGTGGACCGTCCTGGGGGACCGTGGTGCCGCTGTGGGTAGTGGATCGTCCTGGGGGACCGTGGTGCCGCTGTGGGTAGATGGACCGTCCTGGGGTACCGTGGTGCCGCTGTGGGTAGATGGATCGTCCTGGGGGACCGTGGTGCCGCTGTGGGTAGTGGACCGTCCTGGGGGACCGTGGTGCCGCTGTGGGTAGATGGACCGCCCTGGGGGGACCGTGGTGCCGCTGTGGGTAGATGGACCGCCCTGGGGGACCGTGGTACCGCTGTGGGTAGATGGACCGTGGTGCCGCTGTGGGTAGATGGATCGTCCTGGGGGACCGTGGTGCCGCTGTGGGTAGTGGACCGTCCTGGGGGACCGTGGTACCGCTGTGGGTAGTGGACCGTCCTGGGGGACCGTGGTGCCGCTGTGGGTAGTGGACCGTCCTGGGGGACCGTGGTACCGCTGTGGGTAGATGGACCGCCCTGGGGGGACCGTGGTGCCGCTGTGGGTAGATGGACCGTGGTACCGCTGTGGGTAGATGGACCGTGGTACCGCAGTTGGTAGATGGACCGTGGTACCGCTGTGGGTAGTGGACCGTCCTGGGGGACCGTGGTGCCGCTGTGGGTAGTGGATCGTCCTGGGGGACCGTGGTGCCGCTGTGGGTAGTGGACCGTCCTGGGGGACCGTGGTGCCGCTGTGGGTAGATGGACCGCCCTGGGGGACCGTGGTGCCGCTGTGGGTAGTGGACCGTCCTGGGGGACCGTGGTGCCGCTGTGGGTAGATGGACCGTCCTGGGGGACCGTGGTGCCGCTGTGGGTAGATGGATCGTCCTGGGGGACCGTGGTGCCGCTGTGGGTAGTGGACCGTCCTGGGGGACCGTGGTGCCGCTGTGGGTAGTGGACCGTCCTGGGGGACCGTGGTGCCGCTGTGGGTAGTGGACCGTCCTGGGGGACCGTGGTGCCGCTGTGGGTAGATGGATCGTCCTGGGGGACCGTGGTGCCGCTGTGGGTAGTGGACCGTCCTGGGGGACCGTGGTACCGCTGTGGGTAGTGGACCGTCCTGGGGGACCGTGGTGCCGCTGTGGGTAGATGGATCGTCCTGGGGGACCGTGGTGCCGCTGTGGGTAGTGGACCGTCCTGGGGGACCGTGGTGCCGCTGTGGGTAGTGGATCGTCCTGGGGGACCGTGGTGCCGCTGTGGGTAGATGGACCGTCCTGGGGGACCGTGGTGCCGCTGTGGGTAGTGGACCGTCCTGGGGGACCGTGGTGCCGCTGTGGGTAGATGGATCGTCCTGGGGGACCGTGGTGCCGCTGTGGGTAGTGGACCGTCCTGGGGGACCGTGGTACCGCTGTGGGTAGTGGACCGTCCTGGGGGACCGTGGTGCCGCTGTGGGTAGTGGATCGTCCTGGGGTACCGTGGTGCCGCTGTGGGTAGATGGATCGTCCTGGGGGACCGTGGTGCCGCTGTGGGTAGATGGACCGTGGTACCGCTGTGGGTAGATGGACCGTGGTGCCGCAGTGGGTAGTGGATCGTCCTGGGGTACCGTGGTGCCGCTGTGGGTAGTGGACCGTCCTGGGGGACCGTGGTGCCGCTGTGGGTAGTGGACCGTCCTGGGGGACCGTGGTACCGCTGTGGGTAGTGGACCGTCCTGGGGGACCGTGGTGCCGCTGTGGGTAGTGGATCGTCCTGGGGTACCGTGGTGCCGCTGTGGGTAGATGGATCGTCCTGGGGGACCGTGGTGCCGCTGTGGGTAGATGGACCGTGGTACCGCTGTGGGTAGATGGACCGTGGTGCCGCTGTGGGTAGTGGATCGTCCTGGGGTACCGTGGTGCCGCTGTGGGTAGTGGACCGTCCTGGGGGACCGTGGTGCCGCTGTGGGTAGTGGACCGTCCTGGGGGACCGTGGTGCCGCTGTGGGTAGATGGACCGCCCTGGGGGGACCGTGGTGCCGCTGTGGGTAGTGGACCGTCCTGGGGGACCGTGGTGCCGCTGTGGGTAGTGGACCGTCCTGGGGGACCGTGGTGCCGCTGTGGGTAGATGGATCGTCCTGGGGGACCGTGGTGCCGCTGTGGGTAGTGGACCGTCCTGGGGGACCGTGGTACCGCTGTGGGTAGTGGACCGTCCTGGGGGACCGTGGTGCCGCTGTGGGTAGATGGATCGTCCTGGGGGACCGTGGTGCCGCTGTGGGTAGTGGACCGTCCTGGGGGACCGTGGTGCCGCTGTGGGTAGTGGATCGTCCTGGGGGACCGTGGTGCCGCTGTGGGTAGATGGACCGTCCTGGGGGACCGTGGTGCCGCTGTGGGTAGTGGACCGTCCTGGGGGACCGTGGTGCCGCTGTGGGTAGATGGATCGTCCTGGGGGACCGTGGTGCCGCTGTGGGTAGTGGACCGTCCTGGGGGACCGTGGTACCGCTGTGGGTAGTGGACCGTCCTGGGGGACCGTGGTGCCGCTGTGGGTAGTGGATCGTCCTGGGGGACCGTGGTGCCGCTGTGGGTAGATGGACCGTCCTGGGGGACCGTGGTGCCGCTGTGGGTAGATGGATCGTCCTGGGGGACCGTGGTGCCGCTGTGGGTAGTGGACCGTCCTGGGGGACCGTGGTGCCGCTGTGGGTAGATGGACCGTCCTGGGGGACCGTGGTGCCGCTGTGGGTAGTGGATCGTCCTGGGGGACCGTGGTGCCGCTGTGGGTAGATGGACCGTCCTGGGGGACCGTGGTGCCGCTGTGGGTAGTGGACCGTCCTGGGGGACCGTGGTGCCGCTGTGGGTAGATGGACCGCCCTGGGGGGACCGTGGTGCCGCTGTGGGTAGTGGACCGTCCTGGGGGACCGTGGTGCCGCTGTGGGTAGATGGACCGTCCTGGGGGACCGTGGTGCCGCTGTGGGTAGATAGACCGTGGTGCCGCTGTGGGTAGTGGATCGTCCTGGGGGACCGTGGTGCCGCTGTGGGTAGATGGACCGCCCTGGGGGGACCGTGGTGCCGCTGTGGGTAGTGGACCGTCCTGGGGGACCGTGGTGCCGCTGTGGGTAGATAGACCGTCTTGGGGGACCGTGGTGCCGCTGTGGGTAGATAGACCGTGGTGCCGCTGTGGGTAGTGGACCGTCCTGGGGGACCGTGGTGCCGCTGTGGGCAGATGGACCGCCCTGGGGGGACCGTGGTGCCGCTGTGGGTAGATAGACCGTCTTGGGGGACCGTGGTGCCGCTGTGGGTAGATAGACCGTGGTGCCGCTGTGGGTAGTGGACCGTCCTGGGGGACCGTGGTGCCGCTGTGGGCAGATAGACCGTCCTGGGGTACCGTGGTGCCGCTGTGGGTAGATGGACCGTGGTGCCGCTGTGGGTAGGTGGACCGTGGTGCCGCTGTTGGTAGATGGACCGTGGTGCCGCAGTGGGTAGTGGACCGTCCTGGGGGACCGTGGTGCCGCTGTGGGTAGTGGATCGTCCTGGGGGACCGTGGTGCCGCTGTGGGTAGATGGACCGCCCTGGGGGGACCGTGGTGCCGCTGTGGGTAGATGGACCGCCCTGGGGGGACCGTGGTGCCGCTGTGGGTAGTGGATCGTCCTGGGGGACCGTGGTGCCGCTGTGGGTAGTGGATCGTCCTGGGGGACCGTGGTGCCGCTGTGGGTAGATGGATCGTCCTGGGGGACCGTGGTGCCGCTGTGGGTAGTGGATCGTCCTGGGGGACCGTGGTGCCGCTGTGGGTAGTGGACCGTCCTGGGGGACCGTGGTGCCGCTGTGGGTAGATGGACCACTCTGGGGGACCGTGGTGCCGCTGTGGGTAGTGGACCGTCCTGGGGGACCGTGGTGCCGCTGTGGGTAGTGGACCGTCCTGGGGGACCGTGGTGCCGCTGTGGGTAGATGGACCGCCCTGGGGGGACCGTGGTGCCGCTGTGGGTAGATGGACCGTGGTACCGCAGTTGGTAGATGGACCGTGGTGCCGCAGTGGGTAGTGGACCGTCCTGGGGGACCGTGGTGCCGCTGTGGGTAGTGGACCGTCCTGGGGGACCGTGGTGCCGC